TTAAAGCACAATAATGTTACGACCCCTGTATGGGCCAGTCTGACAAAAAAAATTCTGTTGCTCCAAAGTTTGACATAATAACCCTGATTACTGTAGCTGAGTTATCCCTGACTGTCTTAGAAAAATGTTAAAAAGAAATGTGGTGGGGTGTCTCCTAAAGATCTCTGCCCTTAGGAGGGATACATGTTTTTATATGAGGTCACCACACTGTCACAGTTGGGGAGGGGGTATTATTTTCATTAAATAGCTTCAAAAAATAAACTATACTTAATTTAATATTTAAAAACATTTGGGGTCAGTATATTATCCACAAGAGTCCAGTTGTTGAATAAAGAACAGGAACACTCTATGACGCTGTTGAACTGCATTATGAGAAATGTAGAGCCCAGGAGTTATGGAGCTTGGTTCTCCAGACAACTAGAAAGTCATGATACTTTTCCGGTCTTTTAGAAAGTATTTGCGCCTGCCACATCTCTTTCTTTCCCCTCTTTATGAAAGTCCCAAACTGCTGCAGTATCCCTTTAAATGAGTCTAAATGAATTCTGTGCTTCTTCCTATTCAGTGTATAATATTGGGGATTATATTTCAGAGTAACAGCGGTATTAATAATAGTAGTGCGCCTTTAACCAGTGTGCGTGCGCACATGCGTAAAGTGTACTAGTAGTTGGTCGCGCATGGCATCTTCGTGCCTGCTTGTATCTACTGTCCTCTGCCGCTGGGTCGCTGACGATGCCGAGCGGAGCAGGGCGCCTCTACGTTTCTGTGTGCGGCTACAACCGCAGTTGCGAAGACTGAAGTCGGATGAGACGGGAGAGGGGCTTGAAAAACGACGATGGATGGTCCGAGCTGTTTCTCATCGCCCGGACAGCTTTAACATCAGGGGAAACGCGTGGATTTATTAAAGGTGAGAAGTGGGGCTGTCCAGCACGGAGGAAATATCCCCCTTATTCGCCCATAGCCACTTACATCCTCCCTATCTGATGCTGCTGCTGCTGCCACCGATGATGATGATGCTCTAAACGCAACCTGCGCGATTTTCCTCCGGTAAAGGCCAATTCCCCGCCATGTATCTTACTTGGCTGTGGAGACACCAGTAGGATTTGAAGAAATGCAGAATTGTCATTGTTTGTTAACCAAAAAAATACAAATTAAAAAAATAAAAAATAAATGTATGGACATCACGACACACATTCCCCACTGCGGAAATAAGGTAAATAGGCGGTTAAATCAGCAACATGGCTGCGTTGATGCTCTGCCGTCGCTTTAGAAGTAATTTTTAAGTGTTGCGGTGCTGTTCAGCGTTAGAATTAAGGCTCGTAGAAAGGGAGAAGTGAATGATATCAGCGGCGGAGAGATACTGCAGTAACAGAGTCCTTATGTTGACTCGCGTCAAAGGATGTTGTCATTACCTTGGAGCTGAAGGTGCGGTTACAGTAAAATGCACCTTTCCAGGCCTGTGATGATTACTACACAGTCTGACTTCACTGCAAGCATCTGACATCCAAATTATTACGAGCTTGTGATTGTTTATGGGGAGATGAATAAATGGCACTAGCCAGAAATCCCATTGATCGGGACCGGTGAAACAGTGATCACACCGACTGTGATCTGAATGTGCTGAATTTATTTTGGCATGAATTATTAAAAACTTCCATCAAATAATCAACTTAACCGTTAAACTGTCATCTGCTTACAGGCTCTGATTACACGTCTGTGAACACGAACTGCCAGTGTGCAACCCTTGTTGCATACTCATGAATTTCAGCAGTTACCTCATAGAGGGAATTTATTTACAATGAACCATTGTGATATTTTGCTGGGTCTTCCACTGCATAACCAATGTTTTTTAACCATTTCGCCAAAGGGCAGCCGTGCCCCTTTGACATATCTGCTCTAAAAATGCCCCCAAAGCTCTTTTTTTTTCTCTATTTAGAATCAGAATTATGATATATAATTGGTCTGACTTTATCCAAACTACCATGCTTTGCCAGCTCCAAAGGCATGTGATGGTGTTTATAAGCACTGAAGCTGATTTTTGACTATTGCACAGAGCGGTTTTGCTGCTTGTGAAACGAGTGGTTGTTGTCAAAGAGCTGAAGATGAGTCATTCAGTTGCTCAAAAAAATTAATTATTTGGAAAAAATCTGACATTTCGTTTGGTTTTTCAAGCAAACATCAGATTCCCACAACTGGATTTTCTGCTTTACTCAACCCGCTGTTTAGGAAGTGGGAGGTTTTGCTTGTTAGAAAGCCAGGCTGTAGTTAAAGAAATCACCCAAAGCTGTCGTATGGCAAAAATATTGATTGAACATTTGAGAAAAATATCAGCAGATTGTTTGATGTTGAAAATAGTCTTTAGATGTGGCTCTTATTATATTAATATCTATTATTTAAAACTTAATTTCAATGAAGCGTCCCCTTTAAAAATCTTTGCTGGCTCTTGTAAGCAGCACAGAGAAATGTTCAAGACAAGGGAGAGGTGCGAGTTTGTGACTGGAAATAGTCATAACATTAGAGATCAGTCTGTCTAAAACAAGGTTGGATAGAAGTGAAAGCAAAATAAAAAAAGGGGGGGGGCTTCTTGTCTACACACTTCGAACCTTGGCTTCTATGGTTTGCTGATCAGCTGAATGCCCTCAATTCACCATGAGAATAAGCAAGTAATCTAAACATGTTTGGGATACTCTTGAGTCCTTGGTCCCAGGGACACCCAGTGCTAATGGCTTATTGGCTATCCCTAATGTGCTCTGTGTCCGTCATCATTAAGTGGTTCCTTTGCAGCTCAGTCAGTGTCATTAGCCCACAGGATGCAGTCACTGCTGAGCGGGATGTCATAGAGAATTATCATTTGCACAGACCACAGGCACTGGAGTGCTCCCTAGCTGGCTCACCAGTATCTCTACAGGAGGCGATGGAGGGGGGGTTAAGAAAAGCACAAAGTGAGAGTTAATAAGTCCTTGAAGGAGGTAAACAAGGGAGGTGTTAATTACTTATTTAAAAGTCTACTACATTTTGTCAGCGTGAAATAGCTCATCTCTCGTAGTAATGGTGGTGTCAAGTCAATATCAAGACACCCTCGCTGACCTTTTTCAATTTGTTTTTTTTTCACAGGGTCAACGTTTAAGGCTTCACTTTGTTGACATACAGTGTGCGGCAGGTAAGTACTTTTAAAATCAGTGTGATATAATATGTCACATGTAAAGCATGTCATATAAGCGCTTGGTAAGCAGGAAAGGATACGGTGTCCATGTGCAAATTGTCTTCACGGTAAATTATTTTTGTCAGATAAGAAAACAAGTCCAAAAGAATTGGTGGTAACGGTAAATTAAATTGTCCTGTGTTTGAGAGAAGTGACACTGTAAAGAAGTGACTGGAATCACAATAATAAAAGCCATGGAGATGCTTTTGAAAAATAGTACAGAGAAAGAAGTGAATGAAGTAGTGAAACCTGTGTTGTTTCAAAGGGGGCTTTTCTTTCCCTGCTGAGCTGAGAAGAAAACATACACCAGCAGTGAATCCTGTTTGAAAATGCACAACAGAGTCAACAGTGAAGTTCAATCAGGCAGCAACAGTTAAAGCTGTTCAATAGGCATCTCTTCTTTGGTATCAGATAATTATTTGGGGGCATTGAGAAATATTTACATGCTCGTGAGTTTAGAGCTAAATAGATTTTGTCATCATATTTTAAAAGATTTGTAGAGATTGCAATTTCCTTGGCTTCTTGAGATTTTCTTTCTAAGAACTGCAATAGACAGCATACTTTTCTTTAATGCAAAATTTATTTTCACTAGTAAAGAATTGATAAGATTGAATAATTTTGCCAAACTGCAGTAAGTTACACTTACTCTTTCATTGCTCATACCGAGGCTGATACTGATAGCTTTAGCCATTTTGCCTTTGCTACCTTTTTAAAATATCCATGTTCAGCTTGGTGAGGGGGATTTAAGTGTCTTATTAAATTTGTTGTTCCATTTTGTGGCGATTTATTTTGCCAAGGTTTGTGTCTTCACCCAATAAGATGCTAGTATATGACTGTTTGCCTATGCCATTGTGGTCTGACCCATAATAAGCCATATATGTACATGAGGCTGACTGGCTGGTCACCTGTCTGGGCAAAGAACACTGGAAATCAGCTGATTCTGGTCTCTTGTTGGTCAGTTGGCGCATCTCTAGTTATTTCCACTTCCCCCAAGAGTTAGATCGCGTAATTGATCTATAACATTCTCACATTGGTAAGCTAGTATAGCCAGAAACTGGTAAAACTGTCTATGCAGAAATACTGGAATACTATATATAAATATCCCTTATGTAACCCACCCTAAACTACAACCTATTCTGGTCATTATGTGAGTTTTAGAAGCTGGAGAGCAAACAATTTCCACATTTTCAAATCTTTATACTAAGCTAAGCTATTTGGCACCTGATTGTAGCTTCATATTAAACCTACAAATGTGAAAGGATATATTTTTTTATTTTTCCTTATATACCTAATGAAGGAAGTAACATCATCCGGACAGTGTTAAACTCTTCTTTTTAATAAAAGTCACAGTTCTGACACGGCTATTCTTTTACCAAGCACACTCTCAGTATAATGTATATATAATTTCTTTTCAGTTCTCTGTCCCTTCTCGGTAATAGGGAATGGACTAGTAATAAACAAGTGAAATTTCAAAGCAAAATCATCTATATAGTATAGTTGACCAAGGTTATATTGATGACTAACGCTGTCCTTTGTGCAGAGGGTAAATTGCAAACTTCCTGCTGGTACAGCCGTATTCAAGGGTTCATCTGAGTGTTTCAATAATTCATTATAGCCACATAATGGATCACTTACTGTGTGCCCTCCACTGGTAAATGTAATTTAGACTTGAACACCAGATCCTTTTCTATTCTGTTTTATCCACAAAAATCATCTGTTCTGTATATATCTGCATTTTCTTTAGTTGTATGCAAGAAGTGTAGTTCATTCAAATCCTTCTTAGTCCTATCTCTATGACTTCTGACACTGAAATGAGTTGTGTGTTGCATTTATTACTATGCTGCTGTGCAGTAAGCACAGTAAGAGTAAGTGCTGCATGCACTGGTGTTTGATGTGCCACAGAATGATCGAGGAAGGCAGTAAACGAGGCAAGGCCATGGTGGAGAAGAGACAGCTCTTCATGGAAATGAGTGAGTGGAGTCGACTGCGAGAGATGTCTTTTCACTATCTCATGTAATGCACAAACATGCATGGTCCCTCGCGTGTAATTCCTCCCACACAGAGCGTATCACTGATTAAATAAACATTCAAAAAGCTTTAAGTGATATTTTTACTTTGATATCAGATTACATTTGTCAGGTATAGATGATTTTTTGAGGCTGCGTTTCTCTTATTTTTCAGGAGCTCAAAACTTTGATGTCATCAGACTGTCAACTTATAGGACTGCCTGCAAACTTCGGTTTGTGCAGAAGAGATGTAACCGTAAGAAAAAAATGTCACCTCTTTTCAGCCGTTATAACACCAGCAGAAACATTTGTTTGAACATGAATGCAGACTTGATTGATTGTATTCTGTCTGTTTGCCAATCCCCCCTCACAGTTCATCTGGTGGATGTCTGGAACATGATCGAAGCCTTTCGTGACAACGGGCTCAACACATTGGACCACAATGCTGAAATCAATGTGTCACGACTGGAGACTATTCTGTCTTCCATTTACTACCAGCTCAACAAGCGGCTGCCCACCACCCACCAGATCAATGTGGAACAGTCCATTGGGCTCCTGCTCAACTTCATGGTGGCCACATATGATAGGTATGGAATAGGTGCACAACACAGAGAAGTACTATACTGTAGTCTAGTCTGTAGGTGGTGTTGTTTGGATAGAAACAACAAACAACAAAAGAGTAAAGGCACAGCTCTTATTTAGGATCTTTTAAAGATAATATTTACCAAAGGAGGGTGGCACATTGGAGCAGTGGTTAGCACTGTTGCTTCACAGCAAGATGGTTCATGGTTTGAATCTGCTGGCTAATAGCAAATTCAAGATAAGTGTAACTGCAGGACTGCAAGAAAATTTACTGTATGCAGTAAAAAAAAAAAAATTCAACAGAACAACAAGCAAAGATGAATCTAACATGAGTTTTGCAATAAACTGTAAATAGTTTTTATAAATAGGTTAAAAAGACAAAAAGTGGCTACAGATTACTGGATCAAGTCCACTAATATAAAACATGTGGAAACCTCACATTGTCACAAAAGAGGAGCTGAAGCCATCAACTATTTGACATTGTTGCTTCAAATCAGTTTTTAAGTAATAATCAATTCTTAATCGCTTATAAAATGCATTGCTTAAAAAAAAAGCTTTTTCTTATTTGAAATAAGTGTAAATGATGATCTATACAGTGCTGTGGAAAAGTCTTGAGCCACCCGTCACTCTCATTTCTTTAGATGAATTTACCAAAAATTCCAAAGATAAAACTGTTTGGCAGGAATAAAATAGTATTTTTGCACCAACAAGGTGATTCCCAAAGAGCTGTTAGCTGAAAACCTGGCATATCTCATACAGGAGGGAACAAAAAGACCCTAAATTGCACTAATAGCACTAAATCAGCTCTAGAAAATATAACTATTTATCAACAAAACACAGGACAGGTGCAGACAACGCAGACTTCACAAGGGGACACGGCTGACAGGGAAGACAGATGACTAAACATAGATACACAACAAACCTTTAAGAATTAGGAATCACAAAGATACAGACTTGGCACTGACTGAGGAGACACAGGGAACACGGAGCACAGGAGGAGCACAGGAGGAGCACAGGAACAGAAACCAAGAAACCAGAAATGATAAATTATGAAATCAAAGACTATATAATAACTGAAAATACAAAACACTGCGTCACTGACCCAGGACCGTGACATAAACTTTGTCACCTGCTATCATTCTGTTGTCAGTCTGCTATTGAATGGGTCAAGCTGGCAATTACGTACTTTATCAAGCTAAGTGTTTTTCCAGTGTTGGATTTAGTGTAAACTTGTTCAGCTAACATTATCTCAGGATGGTCATGCAGTTGAGTAGTATTCCCAGGGTATTTTCATTTATTATTTATGTATTTATTTTCATTGTTTTAACAAAAAATATTGATATTTCATGTCCCTGGGTTAATACAGTATCACCATGCAAAAAATCACAATACTGTGCTGGTTCGATTTTTTTTCCCGCCACCCCAAATATCTCAGCAATTGAAGTTCAAGAGAAGAAGTGACAGTTCTAAAAATGATCTACAGCAGATCAATGGTGTCGAAAGTCATCCCCTTAATAGAAGAAAAAACTAGTAAAAAAAATCCATCAAAAACCTTACACAGGACCCGAGAGATAAACTGGAGCCTGCAGATAATCCACTGTTTGCTAAAGCCTCAAAAGAAATGGTAGGTTGGCTGTCAAGGAAGGGAAACTAGGATAAAAGACTGAGGTGTGCCAAATTACACAAGAACCGGAATGAAAATCAGTGGCAACAGGTCTTGGATTCATATGATTAGTATATATGGAGGAGATCAGGTACAAAAGTATCTGCAGCTATCTGTAAAACACAGTACAGACTCTGTCATGGTTTGAGTTTGCATTTCAGTCAGTGGTTTTGGGGGATCTTATCAAAATTGATGGAATTATGAACGTAGAAAAGTACCATCAGATTTTGATTCGCCATGCAATACCATCTAAAATAATCTGATTAGCAACAACTTCATTTTTCAGCATGACAATGATCCCAACCTTGCCACTGCAGTAAAAGCATACCTGGATAGAAAAACAGTAGAAAACTATCAGTCATTTGGAGTGGCCTCCCCAGAGCCCAAACCTCAACAGAATTAAACAAAAGGGAGCCAACATCCAAAGAAGAACTTAACTTTGAATGTCCTTCGGGAAGTGGGAAGAGAACTATTCCTGACGACTGCTTAAAGAAATGGCAAGTAAGAGAGTTCAGGTTGTGTTGATGAATGTAGGTGGTTAAATTAAATACTGACTTTCAAGTTCACTAATAAATCAGTAATTTCGGGAGCCTTTTCTCATCTTCCTAGCAAATTATATAGAAATCTGAGGTGGCTCTGGACTTTTGCACAATGCTCTTTTTGAACCTTTTTTAAATCAAGTGCAGTTTTAAAATTTCAACCCATAAATCTTCACAAATCCACATTTCTGACTCTGTGATTTGTCACACTAACAGAAAGACTGCCACCTCCCAAAGATTTGCTTGGGCACTTCCAAGTGTTCTCCTTCTGGTTTGTGTTGTGTTATATGTGATTAAAAAGACCAGGGGAGAACATTTCCTGTAGCTGCTTAACTTTCAGGATGTTAAATAGACACTTATACATGGCTGAGTTATTTCCAAACATAATCAAAATACAGTAAAACCATTACTGGCACTTTGATGGTCCATGGATCTTGTTTTCAGAAATCCCAGAAATACAGATTGGTGCAGAGGACAGAGTATCAATGACCCAGCAATCGATGAAGAATGTAAAATGTTATTAACTTCTAGTAGGTTCAAAATCAGGATTTTAGGTGGGTATGGATCAGGATAACAAATAGACTCTAAGCTAGCTAATAATTAAGATTATACAAGCATATTTACTTTTATTAAAGGACCCTGTCTATGTACATTTAACTAACTGAAATATTAAACTGCTCATCAATCAAAAATGTTAACATATAAGCTACCCTGTACCGGTCGACAAAGTCTGGTAACCCTGGAGATGTTTTACGGTACGTCCCTCCTCTTAATATCCGCTCAGTGCTTCCTGAATCAGGGAGGTTTATTATTGACCATAAAGCACTCTCTCATTATTGTACCTCGTGTACTCAAATTGATTGGCTGCTTGCCCTCTCCATCCAGGGATCCATTCAATTGGTTTACTTTTATCTGTAAAGCCATTCTGGTCCCACTCTGTTATTATTCATGCTCCCGTATCTCTGTGAAACTTTTGGAAACGACTTGCTGCAGTCACAGGAAGCAGTTTTGCTATCTGTCCCTCAGGTCCAAACTGAATTAGGCAGGAGAGCTTTCATCCACTCTGTTACTTCTGCTCGGAAGCAAGAGCTAAATGAATCTCAGACGAAACAAGCTGGTCTCGCTAGGCAAGTTAAAACGATTTATAAGAAGAATACAGGGAGTGCAGAATTATTAGGCAAGTTGTATTTTTGAGGAATAATTTTATTATTGAACAACAACCATGTTCTCAATGAACCCAAAAAATTAATATCAAAGCTGAATGTTTTTGGAAGTAGTTTTTAGTTTTAGCTATTTTAGGGGGATATCTGTGTGTGCAGGTGACTATTACTGTGCATAATTATTAGGCAACTTAACAAAAAACAAATGTATACCCATTTCAATTATTTATTTTTACCAGTGACACCAATATAACATCTCCACATTCACAAATATACATTTCTGACATTCAAAAACAAAACAAAAACAAATCAGCGACCAATATAGCCACCTTTCTTTGCAAGGACACTCAAAAGCCTGCCATCCATGGATTCTGTCAGTGTTTTGATCTGTTCACCATCAACATTGCGTGCAGCAGCAACCACAGCCTCCCAGACACTGTTCAGAGAGGTGTACTGTTTTCCCTCCTTGTAAATCTCACATTTGATGATGGACCACAGGTTCTCAATGGGGTTCAGATCAGGTGAACAAGGTGGCCATGTCATTAGTTTTTCTTCTTTTATACCCTTTCTTGCCAGCCACGCTGTGGAGTACTTGGACGCGTGTGATGAAGCATTGTCCTGCATGAAAATCATGTTTTTCTTGAAGGATGCAGACTTCTTCCTGTACCACTGCTTGAAGAAGGTGTCTTCCAGAAACTGGCAGTAGGACTGGGAGTTGAGCTTGACTCCATCCTCAACCCGAAAAGGCCCCACAAGCTCATCTTTGATGCTACCAGCCCAAACCAGTACTCCACCTCCACCTTGCTGGCGTCTGAGTCGGACTGGAGCTCTCTGCCCTTTACCAATCCAGCCACGGGCCCATCCATCTGGCCCATCAAGACTCACTCTCATTTCATCAGTCCATAAAACCTTAGAAAAACCAGTCTTGAGATATTTCTTGGCCCAGTCTTGACGTTTCAGCTTGTGTGTCTTGTTCAGTGGTGGTCGTCTTTCAGCCTTTCTTACCTTGGCCATGTCTCTGAGTATTGCACACCTTGTGCTTTTGGGCACTCCAGTGATGTTGCAGCTCTGAAATATGGCCAAACTGGTGGCAAGTGGCATCTTGGCAGCTGCACGCTTGACTTTTCTCAGTTCATGGGCAGTTATTTTGCGCCTTGGTTTTTCCACACGCTTCTTGCGACCCTGTTGACTATTTTGAATGAAACGCTTGATTGTTCGATGATCACGCTTCAGAAGCTTTGTAATTTTGAGACTGCTGCATCCCTCTGCAAGATATCTCACTATTTTTGACTTTTCTGAGCCTGTCAAGTCCTTCTTTTGACCCATTTTGCCAAAGGAAAGGACGTTGCCTAATAATTATGCACACCTGATATAGGGTGTTGATGTCATTAGACCACACCCCTTCTCATTACAGCGACGCACATCACCTAATATGCTTAATTGGTAGTAGGCTTTCGAGCCTATACAGCTTGGAGTAAGACAACATGCATGAAGAGGATGATGTGGACAAAATACTCATTTGCCTAATAATTCTGCACTCCCTGTAGAAACCTAATAAAGCAGGTGAATAATCATTTTTACGTCCACGATCAACCGTAGTTTAAGGTTTAGTTAAAGATTCTTCACATTTTGTATGCTAAAGGATGCAAAATCAACACTGCAGTCATATTTTTCAATTTTATTTTTGTTCATACTCCTGAATGTTAGTTTTTCCTCTTAAATGACAAAACTTCAGGTTAAATTAAAAAAAGAAGCATGAAAAGCATAAAAACCATAAATTCCTAGTACTATAGGAACAGAATTAATAAACAAATGTATATTTTATTCATTTTGAATTCAACTTTCTGCTTCTTGGAATGCTTTCCACTTGCAGTGAAAGCCATGGGAAGTTGACAGTTTTCTCAATGAAAGCCATGCTGGCAACAATGTGTGGAGGGAAGATTGTTGACAAACTACGCTGTAAGTACAATTTTGACTGCTTTTTTCTAAAAGCTGATGCTTTGGTTAATTACATATGCCAGGGTCTGCATGTAGTTACTCGAGTTAAACACACAGGGGCACTGCTGCAACATATATACAGTATTCATTTATTTTAAATGCATTAAGTTAATGCTGAGTCTGTGTACCTAGGATCAATAGTTTCCATTCACATAAATGTCAAGTGCTGGTTTGCATCCTGTTTTTGCTCAAAAGTAAAATGTGACATTTGCTTTCTCAGATATTTTCTCGCAGATCTCCGACTCCAGTGGCGTCATGGTGTTTGCAAAGTTTGATCAGTTCCTTCGGGAGGTGCTGAAACTCCCCACAGCCGTGTTCGAGGGCCCATCATTCGGCTACACGGAGCACTCAGTGCGGACGTGCTTCCCTCAGCAGGTAGGAAGAGAATACTGAATCAGTTTTCTCCTTTACTTTTTTCAAAGTCTTCAGTGCTTTACACTTGTTCAACGCATGCATGTGTGTGTTTGTATCTAGAAGAAGATCATGCTGAACACATTTTTGGATGTGTTGATGGCAGATCCTCCCCCGCAGTGTCTTGTGTGGCTGCCGCTCATGCACCGACTTGCTAATGTTGAAAATGGTAAGTTTTCCCAAACCAAATTTAATACTGAGAAGAGATGCTTGAGAAAGGAATAATAGTTCACTATTTTTAGACATTTTCTCTCATGGTAACATTTTATAAAGTGAGTGAAATATCATAAAAAACCAACAAGGAAATCCTGTTTTAAGAAAAGCCAGAAGAAATCATGAAACCAGTCTTGGCTTTGCTCCAAGACCAAAATCAAGACGATGACAACAAATTGTGTAAATAAATTTTAAATGTACTTTCCCGTCGCATATTTCTCCAAATGAATAAAAATATTTTCTCTCTACATTTCATATGCTAATGAGGGGGCGGGGTGGGGGGAGGTAGGCTGTCTTAAAGATGTGTCATAGTGTCAACTTTCTAGCTATTGGTTGTTACAGAAGTGGTGGAGTCAACTCAGAAGATCATTTTTAATTGTCCTTTATCTGTAAAGCATTGACTAATTTCTCAAGTAAATATAGTGGAGTATAAGGTAACATAAAATTGACATACGTAAAGTATCTGAATCTTTTTATTATTTAAAACAAACCAAATACAGAAGTAGCTCTGAGATTAGTGACATCACCACTCTGACAGGAAAGTGTCTTTGTTTTCGTGTTTATCCACTCAGTCTTCCATCCGGTGGAATGTTCTTATTGCCGGAGTGAGAGCATGATGGGTTTCCGGTATCGGTGCCAACAGTGCCATGGCTACCAGCTCTGTCAAAGCTGCTTCTGGCGTGGCCATGCTAATGGTCCCCATAGCAACCAGCACCAGATGAAGGAGCACTCGTCTTGGGTAAGGGGAAAAGGCTCTGATTATTTCTCAGTCTTACATTATGCTTTTCCCATTTCCATACAATTGAAAAGTCAATATCTCTTCGGTCTCATCTCGACTGATTTTTATGACATAGCAACCATGTGCCCACATTTCTCGTCCTTTCAGACAAATTCAGCAGGGATTTAATGGGGTTTTACTCATCTTGGCAAATAAAATTGTATTGACTGAATTTACTGTGTTGCTGCCCCCAAAGCTCAATCATTATGTTATAAATTGAAACATGGGAAGTCTGAACCCATTTCACATACCACTTGGATTTTACACAGAGAAGACTGACTGCTCTTGTAGCCTGAGGACTGGAGTGACATGCTGGAGAAAAACAAAACGCTTTTTCTCTGATATAAAAAAAGAAAGAAAATTATAACATGGGGTAGGTGCATGCATCTGTTTGGGATGTTGTCCTGCTTCCCTGATAAATTGGTATGATTTGTACGCACACCAGTGAAATTATTTGCTGTTGCCATTTGGATGCTTTTTCTGTTAACCTCGGTCCTGATTACCTGGCAGTATTACTGGCTATGTGACAGAAAAAATGGATGCTCATCCATTTTGCAATTGCTCTCTATCTGCCTCCAAGTGCAGTACATTTATTTTTCCTACTTTTATTTGTTAGTTAAATCTCAAGTGTGACATTATACAGGCAAGGACATGCATTTTTATTCCTACACCACATCTCGCTACGTTGTGCTAACATTAAGGTTCGTAGTAAGAAAGAGGAGTGCTGTTTACTACAGCTCTGCACGTCGCCCCGATTTTCAAGAACAAGGTTGATGTGCAGAGCTGTAGTAGCTACAGACGGATGTGTTTAATCAGTCACACTATGAAGATATGGGAAAGAACTTGAACTGTATCATTTTTATGTGCATAAAAACTAAATACCATTTCTGCTTGCCCTAGGGAAAATAAACATTTAGCTCAACATATGAGGACCATAATAAACAATGATAAATAAAATAAACATTGGTACTTAAAAATATCTGGATCATATAAAACATGGTTAAGAAGCATTTAGAATAAAATCATTATAGCAGAATAAAATGCTTCTTTGCCTTCTTCCTGACTGCAGGTGAGAAAACAGGCTGCGAGATAGATGGCAGGGATCATTTATGATGCTGTCACCTGCTGTTTTCACAATCCTGTTCAGTTTGTGTCTTTCCTCAGACCTGCTGTTTCCAAACCAGCAAGTGATGCAGGACATGATTATGCTCTCGGTGGTGCCTCTGTAATAGACTGTCAGGGGTGGAGTGGCGAGGTCCCGCTTCAGGTTCAATGTCTTCATGTTACAGAGGAGATTGAGACAATGTTTTACCTCCTTAATGAGGGCTGTGGTGTTGTCACTGGAGTTCAAACCTTCCTTCAGATACACTTCCTAATACTTGGTGCACTTTGCCTGCTCTACTATAGATCCACTGATGGTCAGTGGTGGGACACAACTGGAGGTTGTCCTCCTGACATCCATGATCATGTCCTTAGTTTTGTCTGTGTTCAGAGTGCTGAGTGTTATCTGGTAGAGTGGGGTCATTAAGACCTGATTGCACAGTGGGTTTATAGCCTTCTGCTGTCTGGAACGCAGCCACAAGCGCTGCGTGTCCTTGTTGTTTGTAAAATGATTTGACAGTTTTTCACATAATGCCTGTTTTCAGTTGCTTCTTCGTATGCTATAGGCTGAGCTGTTTCCAGATGATAACTCTGATCCTCGGTGGTGAATAGACCTCAGTTGTCAGCTGTGGCTTGTCACCAAGTGTCTTGACAGTTCTGATGACAGTCACATCGTCTGTGCATTTGTTTACAAATTCAGTGACAGCATCTGTGGATTCCTAGAGGTCTATACAACTCCCTTGATGTAGCTGTGTCTCTAAAGGTCCACCGTGCGCACTCAAAGCTGTCCTGCAAGGATGTATTAGCCTCATGAGGCCGCTTTCTGATATCTGACTTGCCGGAGGCATTTGGCTCATTCTGGGCCTGCATTCAGGTGTCAACATGACAGTCAAGTGATCAGAGCTACCAGTGAAAGAGTTGGTGAAGGTAGTTTAAGAAGAGAGCTGAAAATTAGTGAGCAGCAGTACATCTTCATGCCAGGAAAGAGCGCTACAGATGCAGTGTTTGACAGCGCTGATGGAGAAGTACAGAGAAGGTCAGAATGTGTTGCAATGTGTCTTTATGGCTCTAGCAAAATCACATGATAGGATGCCAAGAGAGGAGCTGTAGTGCTGCACAAGGAAGTCAGAAGTGACAGAGAAGTATTTGATGGTGGTGCAGAACATGAGGGCAGCAACAATAGCGAGGTGTGCATGAGGAGTGACAAGGTGGGGGTGGGATTACATCATGGATCAGCTCTAAGACCCTTCTTGTTTGCAGTGGTGATGGACAGGCTGACAGATGAGGTCAGGCAGGAATCTCCAAGGACTATGATGCTTGCAATTGACATTGTGATCTGTAGTAAGAGTAGGAAGCAGGTGGAAGAGAGCCTGCAGAGATGGAGTCATGCTTAGAGGGGGAGGTGAAGTGAAAGAAGCAGTGAAGGTGCATGAATATAAATACCTGTGGTTAACCATCCAAAGCAATGGACAGTGCACAAGAAAGGTGAGTGGAGATGAGCGTCCGGGGTGATTTGTGACAGAAGGATAACAACAAAAGTGAAAAGAAAAGTTTATAAGTTGAGACATTCAGTCAAACAAAAGAAAGACATGAGGCAGAGTAGGGGTCATTGGGAGTGATCAGGAGGGACAGGATTAGAAATGAGTACATCAGAGGGACAGCTCAGGATAAGCACTTTGAAGGCAAAGTTAGAGAGGCACTGAGATGGTTTGGACATTTGGAGAAGAGTGATAGAGAATATATTGGACAAGGGATGTTGAACACAGAGGTGCCAGCCAGGTGGAAAACAGGAACACCAAAGGATGTAGTGAAGGAGGACATGCAGAGGATTAGTGAGGGCCGAAGAGGATGCTAGGGACAGGATGAGATGAAGGCAAATGATCTGTTGTGGTGACCACCTTGTACCGCACTAAAATATGTTGAAAGATGCTCTAACCTGCCAGTATGAGAAAATATAATTTAAAAAATCATAAGATATGAGTGACTTCAGTTAAGAAGTTAAAGTATCACTCATCAGAAACATTAGGGATAGTACTGTATACTTTTCCCATATAATTCAGAGTTTCCTAAAGAGTGAAATACGAGTGCTGGAAATCATCCTAAACCATTGGTCAGGGTAGCCAAACCTAAATGTGTTTGTTATATTTTGAAGCTTCTTCCCTTATTTCTCCTGAATGAAGCATTGCTGTCAAGCTTCACTGCAGTTTTTCAGCCATTTGGATTAAAGAATCCACCGAACCTGCTCAATAGAAGCTTTTACTGAGTATGCAACAAGTACTTCTCATCCCCACTTTTCCCACTGTAAACAACGTCTTGACCTAGTTATGTAAATGACTTCTAACAGCGTAAAACTGTTTTCACTCCAACACAGTCACAGCAGTCAACAGAACTGCAAAGCTAACCAATGCGTTGTTTGTCTTGCCTAACTCACAGAAGTCTCCGGCTAAAAAGCTGAGCCATGCCATCAGTAAATCGCTAGGCTGCGTCCCCATCGGAGAGCCGCCACATCCCGTATTCCCCGAGCAGGCCGAGAGACCACAGGAGCTCACCCACACTGTGTAAGTACTCTTCCCAATGCATTTGTTCCTGCTCTCTCTGTCATTATTGAGGGAACCCCAGCAGATTTGTTGATTAACAGCATGGCAAGGATCAGTATCCTCATGATCTATAGTCTGCTACCGTCATGTAACTGCCTCCATCTTTCCACTTTGCTGTCACCACATGACTGATAGTGCGCCATCCTGCTCAGACATCTCGTCCCTGATTATTTGCTACCATGGAAATGCTGATATACTACACAGATTCAGCTGCTGCTGCCGTTAAGCGCAGTCATCCTCATCAGTCTGTTGGCAATGAAACAGGGACGATGGTATAAATCTCAGATTCTAGGCTTTGGGAAATCATTATAGAAAATGCATTATATTCTGCTGGTGTCCTAAACCCTGAAGACTCATTTACATTTCAGCTGAAAAATAGTACTATTAACATAATCAATTCCACCACTGAGATACTTTCACGTAGCGTCTTCTTTGTTGCACTGAAACTCCAACGCTTTATGGTCTCCACCAAGACAACATCTAACTGTGTTTTGAGTATAAAAACAGTGGTCCGTGGTTGTTCTTGTCTATGGCGTTAACATGATCGCAGGAAATCTCTCAACTTTTGTATTTGAGCTTTCGACAGTTTCCATAGCACGTTTCATAACAAAATCCCGCTTCATATTCCAGTCACGACCATAAATCTAAGCTGTCTGTATATCCTTTTGCTGCTGGCAAGTGTCAGTGAGTAATTGATAGTGCACTGCATCACAGGGGAGAAAGTAGCTTCGTGAATACCAAGAAAATTGACACAACGTAAATACATTCGCATGATTTCCTGTTTTACCCCGATTCGCTTTTATATCCAGACTCTGCCCACTGCCAGGGGGCTTTTTCTGCATTGTGCCCAAACTTATGCGTTTAAGATGGAGTTTACATTTGCATAAATTTACAATTCATCACAACAGGGAGAGCCAACTGTCGACCCGGATGTTTTCCTCCTACTGAGAGATAAGGCGATTGGATTAGCTTGCACACTATAGGCTGCGTAGCATGAAATTACTTCACACAAGTAGATTAATATTGATAAAAAATAAAATTTGTGGCTAAAATATATTTAGAATTATGTATCTCTAGGGGCCACAGGAAGTTGCAATCCATATCTATATCTATCTTTTTTTTATGATGTTGATTATTTCAGACAGTGTAGTCACTGAGAATATGGAGCTCCGTCACAGAGAAACCAGCTGGGGCTTTTGTTTAGAGCTCTAAAACTGGTTTTAATTGCTCAGTATTTTCTGATGTAAAATAAAATTTGCAGTGAGAAAAGGCCCTTGATTAAATAATACTGAATATAATATAGCTTAGAGGAAGTTGTACCACGATTATTTCTAGAGCAGGGCAATATGGCCAAAAATATTTATCACGACATATATTTGAAAATTTGCGATAACGATATAACTGACGATATAATTGGTGCGAGACAAAATACAACTCCACAACATTACTAGCGCACAACCTTCCATTTATTTTCACTTAAACAAGAATCTGGTTTTTATGTACATTAAAGCTTTATAAAAATGTAACAGTGCAAATGCAAATTCCTTGCTGAAAGTTTAACCAAAAGGCATTTCCAGTAGAAATGGGCTGACATATCCTGAGCATAACCATGTATAATATCCACTGAAGTTAAAAAGAGGTGCTTTGCAACATTAAACTGCAGTGTGCAGTACGCATTTTTCGGACCATAAGGTGCACGGGATTATAAGGCACATTAAGCGAAACAAAGCAGTCAGATAAATCAAACTTTATTAAACTCATTCTTCTTGCTTCCTCCACTTCTGTACCATTGATTCATTAATGTTGAATTCTCTGCAGCTGCTCTATTCCCATGTTGTTGCAGTATATTAATGACTAACCTCGTATTGTGGATGGATTATCTCAGTTGTTCTCCTGACTGAAGTTTGGTCCGTTTACAGCATCCTGCCATGCGATTGCATTTGTCTCTAACCATGAAGAACCTTCACGTTAACTTTTATAAGTGGAAAAGTGTTAGTGTTCGTCCTCCAGCTTCACTGTTTATGTTATGCTAACATAGCTGTGTCGCTAGCGATCACGTAGCACATCATTATATACCAGCTAGCCCAATTTCAGTAACCCTACAAACGTCACTGCTGTTTAGTTTCCTGTCTTCATTTATGTTGGAAGTGATAGCAGAGCTGTACGTTTGATTTTTTTTCAGAAATCTCTCAGTCAGAACATGCAATATCATGCTTAGGTAACTAGCGAAGCTAGCGAGCTAACTTCCGCTAGCTTCCTGCTAACTTCTAACTCCGTTAAATGTAATAACTTTTGTTTTCCCTTGCATGTTCTGCAAAAAAATGTGCTTTGTTGTGTATCTGACGGACAAACACCAAACCAGTTCCACATCACGGAAGTTGCACCATTTTTACAAACCAATTCTGGTTCATCTGTTTCACTCAACAATCGGCCATGTGCGTATGAAAACAAAGGCACTGCGCATGCGCGTTTTACTCCCATTCTATCGCGATATTTCATTTTCCTATCGTTGCCTAACATTATACCGGTATTACCGTGAACGGTATAATATGGCCCAGCCCTAATTATTTCTACTTTTTATAATTTTACTTTTAAGTTTTAATAGCTTATTGGACTTTAATAAAAAAATATGTTTGGCATTCTTTCTTTGAAATTCCAAGAACTTATTGTTATGATCTCCTTTGAGGGTTTTGAACACAAAGTGCATCCTCATGCTCTTGCAGATGGCATTTTCAGGTTGCTGAAACTCTGTATTCGTGTTTGCTGACTTTTAGGATAATGGATGTGACTGTTGACCCCTTCTTTTTATATCTTTTTGTCTCTATTGTTATGTCTGAAAGGGCATTTACAAAAAAAAAAAAAACATCTATTTTTGGTTCCTGAAATGATTTTATGTTTTGATTTGTGTGGCGATGAAGTAGCGCCTCTCATCAGCTGTGCAATGAAAAGAAGCTTTTAAACCTGACAACCCTTCAAAATATGTATTCATCAGCGACTGTCATTCTCAATTTTGGTTCGGATTAAAAGCTCCCAAATTTAACTGTGCAGGTCTTCAAAATAGCAGGCAGATACATCTGCAAAACAACACACAGGGGGAAATAACAGTGTTGTTTAGTTCTTTGGAATATGATCCTTAGTATGAAATTATACATTAAACATGACACTTAAGTCTGCTTATCTTTAGATGTGAGAAAAGTACTAGCATGGCTCTATCTAACTGTAACAAAATCTAGAACCTCATTAGCATTTTATATGTTACACAATTACTGGACACTTTATTAGGTACACCTTGCTACAACAGGGTTGGATCCACTTTTGTCTTCTCAACTGCCTTAATTCTTTGTGGTATAAATTCAGCAAGGTGCTGCGAGTGTTCCTCTGAGATTTTGGTCCACATTGACGTGATAGCGTAAACGCAGCTACTGTAGATTTGTCGGCTGCACATTCATGAAGGGAATCTCCCATTCCTCCACATCCAACAGGATTTCTATTGGATGTGGCGAGATCTGGTGACTACGCAGATCATATGAGTGCAGTGAACTTGTTGCCATGTTTAAGAAATTAGTTTGAGGTCATTCAGTTCAAATCAGGTTAATTTATATACAGATAAGGACAATATTATTAGCTTCTCTCCCTTTATTTAAAGTATTTTCCAAGCGCTTTTAAACAGAGCAAGGAATTTTTTAACACAGCTTTTCCAAACATCCTGGTTTTATTTTGTATGCTTACTTTATTTTACCTTGCACACAGAAACATAATCAGAATTCAGTAATGTTCACTTTGGTCTTCTGGAGGTAGTTCTTCACCAGGAGTGATGTGTGTTTGGGATCATTGTCGTGTTGGAAGACAAAGTGATAACTCAGACCCAGTTTTGGTGCTGACCGTTTGAGGTTTTTCATTCAAAATCTTCACATATCCTTCTTCCACTTTCCACCTTCCACCTCACAGTTCCAGATGCACTGCAGCATAATACTCCCACCTCCATGTTTCACTGTGGGGATGTTGTTCTTTGGGTTGTACACATCTCATGTCTTTCTCCAAGCATAAACAGTTTCAGTATGACCAAAGAGCTCTAGTTTTGTCTCACCTGATTAAAGGGAGTAAATACTCCAGTATTTCTGTTTCTCAACGTTGTCCTTAGAATACTTCAGGCTTGAAGTTATCTTTTTTGTATTTGTTTTCTTGGTGTACAACCTTGCAGTCTGTTCCTGTGGAGGGTTCGAGTGATTTTCGTCTTTAAGACAACAATTGCCAACTTGGTAAGTCATTCACTAGAGTTTTGGCAGTTGTTCTGGTGTCTTTTGACACATCTCTTTATTTCCAGAGTCTTTGAAATCTTTCTCTTCCTGCTTCTGCCAAGCTTGTGCCGTACTGTGTGGCTCTCTTTGAATTTCTTGATGATACTTCTCACTCCAGTTCTTGACACTTGGAAACGCTGCTATAGCTTTGCATATCCATCTCCTGCTTTGTGAGTGCCAACAGTTCTTTTTTTTCTCAAGTCCAAACCGATTTCTTTTGTTTTTGGCGTGATGCTTTCTCAAGTGACAGCTCAAACCCATACCGAAGTTTTTATAATGTGTGCAAATTTGGAGATAACTCTCAGTTTTAACTTGATTTTACAACCTTTACAAGGTTAAATTTCATCAATACACAGCAGTAGTTT